GTTCATTTGGCAGGAAGGGGCAGGAAAGAAGGATGGATGGAAACGAGGAACCTAAGAAAGAAGTGGGAAGAGTGCTCTTACATTGAGGGGATTGCAAGTAATGCCATGAAGCAAATGTGTATAAATTATTGAATGAGAAACTAATGTGCTGTGTACACTTTCACCCAAACCACAATAAAATGTTACAGAAGAAAAAAGTGCTTAAGACACTCACCCTAGACTGAAATGGCAAGTGCCTTAGGCACTATGCTACCACAGCTCCTAATTAATACATAACAAAGAAAACCTTATTCCCAAATGGGATTACATCCACAAGTATAGAGACTAAGATGTACAACACATATTTTGGGGAGACACAACTCACTCCATGACAGACCATAAAACCTCTTAGGCCCTTCTGAGGGAAAATATGAGTGGGGGTGAAATATGAAAAAAAAAAAAAAAAAATCTGTGAGTCATGATACTGATCTCCTCAACACTCCCTGAAAATGAAGGTTTTTTTTACTACAATCTAAGTAAAACATCATAGTGCAGGCAATGTAGCTGAGATGTCTGCATGGTGATGTGGTCAACCCTATCTCACTGTGCCTGGTATTGTGAAGGCCTGAGTCTATATTCATCTGAAAGTAATCAGCTCAGAATGTGACATTTAGAAAGCATTTTATAAACTATAAAGTTATTTGGAAATGTTGGTGACAGAGACTTCTGCAAATCTAAAATCTAATATGTGCAATGCACCGTTCTATATACTGAAAGGGATCAGAATATATATGAAGCATTGCCCCATATTCAAGATGTTTATAATATTACTGGACAGACAGCACACATGAAAAGCAAATATGTATGGTGATAAATTATAACAAAAAATAAATGGTCTGGGAGAGTTTCTTGATGAGGTACAGTCAGAGAATCCATTACAAAGGATGTGGAATTTGGATTGACCCTTGGAAGATAAATTATCTGAAAGCAAAGAGAAGAGGCGAGGGTATTTTCAGAAGAAGAACCAGAAAATAAAAAAAAAGAAGAAGGAAAAAGAAGCAGATCAAAAAGGATAAAAACCAGTTAATAGTGCAATGAATCCATTTATTCAGCAGAGGAAGAGACATAAAGAAGGGGTGTGGCAGGGGTTAAGCATGAAGTATTAAGACCTGGCCTCATAAGCAAGTGAAAGCTGGGTGATGAATAAGGAAGACCAAAGAAGAGTTGATGCTTTTAAATTGTGGTGTTGGTGAAGAATATTGACAATACCATGGACTGCCAGAAGAACCAACAAACCTGTCCTGGAAGAAGTGCAGCCTGAATGCTTCTTGGAAGCGAGAATGGCCAGACTTCGTCTCACCTACTTTGGTCATGTTGTCAGAAGGAACTATTCCCTGGAGAAGGAGATCATGCTTGGTAAAGTGGAGGGTCAGTGAAAAACGGGAAGACCCTTAACAAGATGGATTGACACAGTGGCTGCAACAACAGGCTCAGATATAACAAGTATTGGGAGGCTGACACAGGGCTGGGCAGTGTTTCATTCTGTTGTACATAAGGTACATAAGGTAACAGACTTGATGAAACAAGTCTTGTTGATGAAACAACAACAACAACATTAAGACCTGAGTTTACAGGGCCTGAATGTCAGTTAAAGAAGATTAGACTTTTCCTAAAGACATTAGAAAGTTCTCGAAGAGACTTTATTTAGCAGTCAGGACAATTATTCATAGAAAATAAATTGAAATAAAAGTCTTATTATTACTGTTTGATTATTTCAGAAATATTCAGATGATCTGGGGTACCAGAGAGAAATGAACCCAAGAAAAGCCCAGAAAGTTTGAGGCAGAGCAGCTTCAGCTGAGGTTGGAGACCTGGAGACATCTGCCATCCAGAGAAATAAGGTTAGGACCAGGTATTAGGAGTGAGAAGGAATGGGCAGTTTTCAGGGATGGTCTCCTGTCCCCAGGCCTAGATGGGATTTTAATATTAGGGGGAGCCACATTACTCGAGACACTATCATTCTAATTTTGTGTCTTGAAGCCAACTAGTTACATTCTCAACCTACAACTAGAATTCACTTAACTCTCTGTTCTACCTTTCATTCACTGTCTTCTCTAATAATGTGGCTGCTTCCTCTCTAGAGTAAAAGCTTTGAAGCACAAGATGAGGGCCTTATTCTTCCTTCTCTCAAGTACATATTGTTGTTGAGTGCCATTGAGTCAATTCTGACTCATAGTGACCTTATATGTTGGGGTAGAACTGCCCTATAGGATTCCTAGGCAATAATATTTGCAGGAACAGGTTGCCAGATCTTTTCTCCCGTGGAGCCATTGGAGGGTTCAAATTGTTGATGTTTCAGTCAGAGGCCAGATACTCAACCATTGTGTCACCAGGATTCCTTTGTTGCCCATCTTCCTTCCACAGAACAGCTGGTGGTTTTGAACTGCTGAACTTCTGGTTAGTGGCCAAATGCCTTATCTACTGTGTCACCAGAACTCCTTCTCCAGTACATAGTAGGTGCTTAATAAACCATGGATTTATACACATGGGACAGCCTGAAGCAAGAAGAGAGGTGAGTGGGAATAGAGGAGAACATGAAATTTTGAGAACCATAATCTGGAATTGGCTGGATTTATAAGTCTATCAGAGGACAGAACAGCTCATGAACCTCAAAAGACTAGATTTATGGGCCATGAAAAGCCAGATGCTGAATCTGTGTCATTGAAATTGTCAACCCTGGTAGAGCTGGTCCTATAATCAGAATATCCCTTATAATTGCTCATTTTCATTTTCATCTGCTCAGCAATGAATCCTGGAGAACCTACTCTGTGTCAGGCAATGGGAACACAGAGGCAGGCAAGGCACGGTTCTTAACACCATGATTTTGCATCAGTACTTCGTTGCTTAACTGTGCACATCAGTAGCGATTCTGAAACTGAAACATCCAGAGATGAGGTGCTGTATTTAGATGAGAGTGTACCCTCTGCATGCACAGTCAACAGGTGGGGATATTGATTTTCATGAGAGGTAAAAGGAACCTTTCTCTCTGTGGAAGTCTCCTCCAGAGGGCTCCCTTGGCAACTACATAAGTAGTTCTCATTTTGCATTTAAGAGATAACCAACCAAAACCAAACCCACTGCTTTCGAGTCGTATCCAACTCATAGCGACCCCTCCTTGTGTTTCTGAAGTGGTATCACTACATAAGTAGATTGCCCAACCCTCCTTCTGAGGAGTGGCTGGTAGATTTGAACTGCCAGCCTTCTGCTTAGTAAGAGAGATAATAGGGTTTGCAAATATTTATTCTCCACCCTTACATGTTGTGTAAGTTGAGGTCCACCTACCGATTTCTCTGTACCATTTATGAAAGAGTGTTCACAAACACCTTAGGTGAAGGTGGTAAAAAGAAGAAGTCAAGATCTGATTTATAATAGGAAAACGAGTTGGATTTTATTTATTTGTTTTATTTATTTTTATTTTATTCTAATAGTGCATAGATTGTTCATTTAACAAATATTAATGAGCATCTTTTGTGTGTGTGTCAGGCACAATATCAGGCTCTAGAAATGCAGAAGTGATAAAGACAAGGCCTCTGTCAACAGGTAACTGTTTAATAGAGGAGATAAGGCAGGTATCTAATTCACCATGACCGAGAGCAATTATAAAGGCTGTGACAGGTATCTATGAAGTCGGAGGAGGTAGGACTTGGATCTGGTTGGAGGATAAGGCAAGTTTCTATGGTGGTGATGACATTGAGCTGGATTTTGAAATTCTGGAAGGTGCACAAAGAGTCTTCCTCAGACTCTGGGTGGTGTTGGACTTGATCCTCCCCTCCAAACCCAGATGGAACTCAGTAGCAGTCTTAGCACTATGCAGTCCCCAGGGAGGTTACCAAGACTTGGTCAGTGTAGCCACCCCAACTCAGGCAAATCTGAAGGCCTTAACCTTTTGGTGACTTAGTCACATGGGATTTCCGTTGACCCACATCCAAGCTGAGGAATCCAGCTCTGGGAATTGTGAAACTTTCAGATAGATCATCCACTCCATGGCTGCACTCCAATAGCAGGTAGCCTGGAGGCTTCAATTGCAAAACTATATAAAGAAGCTTCTTCCTTCCTGGCCTCACAAGGTATCCGGACTCCTCCTGGGATGACTTGTCCATACATCTTCCTCTAGGGTAAGGTTACTTCTGGGAGGAGAGAGACTTGGATGTCCTTCACTCAGGTGCTGTCAAGGTAGCCCCAGCCTCTCTTCTTGTTTCTTCCCAGGGAGCCGATAAGCTAAGTAGAAGATGTTTGAGGTAGGGAGAAGGAGAGGGATGGGGGTCTTTGCAAAAGAACCCAGAGGTTCTAACACTAATAAAGCCATGGGAACTAGAAGGCTGGAGAAGCAGAGAGGAGACACCCAGACCAAAGAAGTCTTGGGGCAGAATGGGATTGATTGAAGGGAGAGCAGAGACCTGGCTATTCTTGTACTAGGGGCTGGAGTTCTGCTGCTTTTGCTTTTGACATTGGCCTCGGAAAAGTGAGTCATCAGCTCAACTAGGTTGCAGTTTATTTTTCCTTTTTAAGAAAAATACTACCAGTTGGCATTGAGTTAAGGCAAACTTATGCACTGCAGAGTAGAACTGCTCCACAGGGTTTTTAATGGTTGTGGATTTTCAAATACAGATCATCAGGCTTTTCTTCCAAGGTGCCTCTGGGTGGGTTCAAATCGCCAACCTTTGGGCTAGAAGTTGAGCATTTAACTCTTTGCACCACCCAGGGGCTTTAAGAGGAAGAGTAGGTGGTTACCTTAGTTGTTGGGTCTGTTGGGAGTTCCCACAAGGATTTACTCCCCAGATGTTTAGCACTTTCGAGTCCACTTTGTTTTTTATCTCCTGGGATGGATTTCAGCTGGTCTCAAATTGAGTCACCATTTTGGGCAGCTCCAGTTCTTAGAGAAAAGAAAAAGGGCCAACCTCCCTTAGTCTCTAATCTGACCACTTACTCGTTTTCCTTCCAGCTTTGACCATTGTCCAGCAATGTCACAGAAGAAACAGAGAACTTGTGAACCTCCAGATGATCCCAAATGCTCCCCTCCCCAGTGCTCAAATCCCAGCCTGGCCCCTTGCTGTACTTCCCATTCAGTAGGCTGTTGTCACAGTTCCCAAAGGCCCCGGGCTCAGAGCCCAGCCAGGCCCAGGAGGTCTCGCAGGAAACCCCACTGTCTCCACGGTGACATCATCTACCACTGCAAAGAGGAGGAGTGTTAAAATGACTGGGGCATAGCAGAAAGGGCACAGGTATAGTCTCCCATATGAATTCTCCTTAGAAGCTCATCAGGCCCTCTCCTTCTCAGGGAAGGCAGAGAGACACTTCCTGACCAAACACTTGAGAGAACTAGGCTAAGTTGCACCTCTGCTTCTCTCTTCCACCCAACCCTTCATCTCAGCAAAAATCAAGCTTTTCCATTCCTAACCATGGCTCCTGTAAGTCCTTGGCATCTCTGCTCACGTATCCTCAGACATCCTCAAGTGGATATTCCTGCTCTCCTTTCTTTCTTCCTAAGACACCTGGCCATGTTTTGGAGAAACAGATGCTTTGAGACTCATGTCTTCATTTTCAACACCCTCACAGCCATCAATCACTGTCATCCCATGATTCTAGCATTGAAGTCTTCAATAAATAAACAAATGTTGAACATTTACTGTGTACTGGGTTCTTTGTTCCAGATGTAAGTAGGAGAGATCTTCCTGCTCCAGAAGAGCTTACAAATTAGTGGGAGAAGCAATGCATATGCTAGCAATGCATATATATATATATATATATATATATATATATATAT